CCCCAATAATCTATTTTTATTTATTTAGCTGCAGCTTTGGGCTACAGTCATTTAGATACTTATTTCCTCAATAAACTTGATGCCAAACAAAGTATTCTGTTTTGTATTAAAATAAATTAAATAGACCATCACATTCAGACCCTTTATTTAGTGGTTGAGCAGTTATAGTCTCAAGTCTTTTAATGATACACAAGTCTTTGCAGCTGATTTAGGGGAGATAACTGTCTGGTTGGATGAAATTGATCAGTGGTCATCGGGATGAAATGATCAGGTTCTTTGCTGTGTGCTTTAAGTCCTGACCTTAGATTTACTCTCACAATATCTCTGTTCTTTGCTTCAGTCAGTTTCTCCTCAGCCTTGATTGTTGTCCCAGTCACAGGATCAGTATCTTTGTTTTGATTAGTTTTTCCTGTTTTCTCTTCGCCACCAGTCACTTCTCTGTTAGTCCTGCCCCGCCCACTCTCACCTGTTCCCCAGTTTTCATCATTCCAGGTGTTTCCTTTCTCCTCCTTATCCCCCACTGCTTGTTTTATTACCACCATTAGAGTTAAAGCCAGCCTGGTCTCCTTTGTGCTCTTTGTCATTCTCCAGAGTTTTAGGCTCACTGCCACATCAAGCCTTTTTGAAACAGCAAAGCCCACAGCATGCTGCCGCTGCCACCATGCTTTGCTTTAGGGATGGTATTGGGCAGGTGACAATATACATACTTCTACAGAGGTGTGTGGGATGCAGATGTTGTAGCAAAATGTCTGAATACCCATGTAAATATAATATTTTAGTTTATTTTCAGCATTTACTTGCTAATTCCATCTGAAGCCCTGTCCTGTTATATTAGTAGACTAAATTAGATTTATAGAATCAAATAAAGCTTATTAATCAAGAAACAAGAGAATAAAGATCCACACCATCTCTTAAATAAACACAACAGTGTCGCGTCCCGTCTTACACATGGATTTATTGATACACATACTATAAAACAGTATTAAAGGAGCTGGGTAACAACAGTATTGTCATTGCTATAAGTTCAATATAACAATATAAATACAAAAACACACACAGAATGTCTGACGAGCTACAGTTCAAATAGAAAACAGACAAGTTACAGTAAAACCTAAAGAAATGAAACCAGGTGTTCTGCAAAAATAATCTGCTTTATGGACAAACAGAGCCAGAGATTACATGAAAATCACACAACAGAAACTAGTGCAAAAAAGCCTCTATAGCATAATAATCTTAATCTACACATTGTCTAATATATATAATATATATTCATTTATTTATATATACCTTCATACAAATAACCCCTTAATTTGGCGTTTTTATCTTTCAGAAAATAATTTAAACGTCCTAAGAGACACTGAGTGGCACATCTGAAAGCGGTGGAACAAACTTTAAAAGCACTTTTTACTTGTTTATTTCTGTACTAGATATGTGGTGGTGAGAGCTTCATGTGGTGCGGTAAGGGGCAAACCGGGAAACACAAAAACAAGAAAACAACCAGTGCTTGATACGTTTGTCCCCAACACAGCTGATCAGAAAGAAAACTCAACTACATACATTCCAGTAGAATATATACAAAAACATCCCACCTCTCCTTTTCTTGTTACAGCAGAATAAAACAAGGAAAACAAGTTCAAAGGCAAAAATACCTACAAGTGTTTTTTCCCCTCTTTTTGTTATAAAATGTATCATCACTGTGAATTTAAGTCAGTTTGAATAACATGTGGGTGCTTCTTTCTTTAAATATTGTCAGATTTCCCACAACTTAAAAACACTGAACAGGGAGTTAAGGAGGATTACAAGTTGAAGGGTCTAAAGTGCAGTCAGGAGCCTCACACTGGAGCATTTCAATTCAAGATTGCTTTACAGTCGTAGTTCAGATGTTTTAAAGTGAGGTTCTGTGAAGATCTGAACAACTTGTTTGAACTTTGAGGAAATAAAGTTTTAATTTTGACCAGACTGATGAACTAACAGCTAGTCCTAGTGAGACGAAAACCAAAGTGAGTCACTGCTGTCGGTTTCTAAAGCAAACCGTTTCAGCACTAATCCTAGAGAAGCATGTTGATGTTGTTGTTGGAAGTGTCTCAAACTGCACAGGAAGTGCCACAGCTATTTGCACTTGTAAATAATTGTCATGTAAAACTGACAGAAATCAAAAGGCTTGATAGCATTGGGATGAGCTGCTGTGAAATATTAAGATTGGAGCAGTTTTAAGATGGTAGTCCAGTTTGTTCTTGCTCAGATTAAGGCTGCTGCATACGTCACGAGACAACATAACTATTCTCAGTGATGTGTTATGTTATATTTTTTACATGGACCTTTTTATACTTAAAGAGAAACTGTAGCAAGAACTCCTGGTATGCACTTCCACGTCACATGCACAAACAGTGACGGCACGTTGGAAAAGTTTATTTTCAGATGATAAAGGTCTGCTGTTATTTGGGAGAAGTGATGTTTTATAAGYGTCACAAAGAGATCATCAGTTTCCAACAGACGGTGGAGAAATGTGTTCCTGCCTCTGTCTCTTACAGACACGAACATTGTTCTCCTTCCTTTGACTGTCTTTGTAAGTTTAAAGATGTCTGTCTTTTCTAACAGCCTCAGCCATCTGCTTCTCTGAGAAGTGTACTGCAGCTGCATTTTAACGTAAACGCCCACAAAGTTCTGACCAATCACACAATACTTGGAGCATACCCAGCGAGAAAATAGTTTTGACGGGGGGTTGTGCACAGAACAGGTTCTTGTAGGTGGTGTGAGAACAGAAAGCTGCAATTTGTCACAACCACATCATCAAAATACTGTTTTGGCACTTCTGATGAAGTATAAACAAGCCTTTAGCCTTTAGCCTAACAGTCAGGTTAGAATTAATCTCTGGTTTTCTAAAGTGAGGCTGTCTAAATATTTATCTACAACTGGTAAGATATTAATTGCTTATAACCTCTCAGCAGAACCCTACTTAAAACAATCTGAACTTTCCCTTTAGGAGTCTGTCACAGACAGAACAAGATAATTAATTGTATCAAAATAAGGTAAGGCTCTGTTCTCACGGTTTTATGTGCACAACCCCCTAGATGCAAAAAAAAATTCTAGTTAATACATTGTTATTGCCTTTGGGTAATTATCTCAAGTTAAAAACAAAACAAAATAATTTTTTGGTTACTTCAACCACTTTTTGTGTTCAGCTGAAAAATCTAATATTGAATTTCTAAATAGCTGATGGGATTTTGACATTACTCTTCTGTTTTTGCATAGTAAATATGATTGTGAGGCCCAGCTGTGTATGTAGAGAACTGTATTAAAAACCTTTACTCATGGAAACATGACAGAATAAAATTGTTTTATTTAACTTTCAAACGTGAAAGTGTCCCAGCTAATGCACCATCTATAGGACGTTAGGTTAAAATAAAAATAAAACAAAATTTCATTAGAAAATCTTTAAAAAAAATCAACTGAAWCACGAGTCTTTGACAGAGTTTCATTGAGACCGATGTTGCACAGGAGATTTCACCGTCAATAAATATCTTTGTTTTTTTTAAATACATTCTTGATAAAAACAGAACTTATAATAGTGCACTGCTACATTTCCCATATTTCTTGACAACCTATCATACAAAGTGCTCAGGACAGGACTGTTGTGTATCTCAAAGTGTAGTCATTTGTGCTGAAGTGACATTAAGTCTACTCTTAAATGCTGTATGCGTGACTTTATTGGGTACAAAAAGTAAGAAAAGAAATGGATATCTGCTTTATCCGATGAATGAGTGTGCTCATCCAACAGCTAAAGCTTTTATTGTCTATAAAATGCAGATGAGAATGATGATGATGATTTAGATCTACATACGTAGTGTGTGTTTGGGTTCTGTGTTTCATGGTCTATGAGGTAACACTTCCTGTCTCTGTCAGTGGTTCAGCCCCTGGTTAAACATAGACACGCAGCAATGGCTCAGTGGTCTGACGTTAGGAGGTGGGGTAAAGGTGCAGGAGACAAGAAGCACAACAAAGGAGGATGCGGGGCTTCGGTGTGGTTGTGAGTGAAGATTACTGGTCGGAGAGTGGCGTTGGCAGGACTTCCTGCAGGGGAGTGTTTCTGCACCTGTGTGAGTGTTTGTGACTCGACCTCAGTTGCTCAGACCACTGTGGCAGGTCTGCGGTCCATCTCCTCCTCCAACTTCACCATCTGCTGTATGTCCTTGGCCTTKGAAGGGACAGAAAACAGGCAGACAGACAAATGAACAGATTCATCCATCTTTTCCTGACACTTTCTGTTTACAGCTTCAGTTAGGAGTTTACAACCCAACATGAGTTTGTTCCTTCAGATTACCAGGAGGAAACAAGTCTATCTATCTCATGCTTAGCTGGAGTGATAATCGTCACCAAATGTGGGCAGATGGACACCGTCACAAGCTCTGAATGTAAATGACTGTGAGCTGGAGTGAAAACACGGCACGTCAGGTTGTGAGTTGGCTCTTTGTGCTTCACAATAGCCGGTGAGTCATGGTGATAAATGAATCAAGATGCTAGTTGGCCCGCAAGACACCAGATGCAGGCGTGTAGCTCACAAAGTATGAACACAAATATTACTTTGCTTTAAAGGAAAACGTGCAATCTCTTAAAGGGATCCATGATTAGTTGTAACATTAGACTTTATTTAATAAACATATATTTAACTGTATAATAAAAGATTGTAAAAATACTGTAGGATGTTCAGTTTTTATCATTTTTAATCTAAAAGTTTAAAAATAGATTACATGGACGGGGCCATTTTATTTACATGCAAAGCATTCTGGGTCAATGATGACGTGGATAGGTCCTCAGTGCTGTCACCATATATATGTATTAGCTCAGCGCTACACATTCTCCTCTCATCACTGAGGTCCTCCATCCACATGACAGAGAGGGGAACACAAAAATGACTCAGGCTGCAACTGAAAATATGGATGGAGGACCTCAGTTTAGCTTGTTTGTCGTGCTAGCGCCGAGCTAATACATATAAGCTAATGTAGCTAACAGGCTAAGCTGAGGTTCTTCTTCCATGAAGCAGCTCTGTTGTCCTCCATCCATATTTTCAGTTACAGGCTGAGTCATTTCTATCTTCTCCTCTCTGTCAACGCTCTCTGGTTTCATTTAAAAGAGTCGATCATCAGATATTGTCCAGGATTAACCTTCAGGGTGGATATAGCTCGCTCACACCGAGGACCTATCCATGTCATTTACCCAGAATGCTTTGTGTGTAAATAAAATGGCTCCGTCCGTGTTAAAATATTTTTTAAAAATTTACAAAACTAAACAGCCTACAGTATTTTTACAGCATTTATTTTACAGTTAAAATATATGTTTATTAAATAAAGTCTAATGTTACAACCAATCGGGAATCCCTTTAAAGACAGCCCCATCATGAGCTGCTTCCTGCTTTAATTAAAACATGTTCTGAATGACCAATTATAACAAGTCCATCAGAAAACCTAGGTGAATAAAGAAACAAGTGACGACACAGCAGTAAGAGAAAATCACAAATAGTCACTAAATGATGCACCGACACAAAGCTGGTATCAGAGGTAGAGCTGACGAAGATGAAGATGCCTACCTTGAACCTGTTTGTTTGCATGATGTGATTTCAAAAGCTGTGCCGGAAAAAGCAAATTATATTAAAACCAAAATGTGCATACATGTTAGACATGTACAGCTTTTGTGACAAATGGTAAAACGAAAAGCAAAGATGGAGACATGGCTTCACAAACACATCTGCTAACATTTTAAAACATTCAAATTGTGTTAAACAGATAAAATACAGTTTTTTAATGCAGCTGTAAAATAGAAGTTTGCAGTTTAAGAAACCTGTTATGGTTTATATCTAAAATTAAAAAGTGTCTTTATTCTGTGGACTAATRTTTTCAAACCTCTGAGTTTATTTTCCTATAAAAATACAGAAGGTTTGACCTTCACTAAACTGTGATGAAAATATCTAAAAAAAGAAAAGAAACACGTTAAGTTTAAAAATAAAAAAGGAAAGCAGAGAAATCAGACAGGTAACRTTTCCTTTACAGTTTGTAAAAATCAGACTAATTTATTTTCCTTCTGATGTTTTACCTGCTCATTGTGCTTCTCCAGTTTCTCCAACTGTTCCCTCTGGTTTTTCTCCAGTTGCTCCATCTCCTTCTGATGCTTCATTGCCAACTGCAAACCAAGACACAAACACTCACAGATAGATCCAGTCTTATTAAAAAGTTCCTGCAGATTTTTTTTTTCCAGCTGGGTAACATAAGAATTTACCCTCTTCCTCTCATCCAAGAACTTCTTGGTGTTGCTGCTGTTTAATTCCCGCACTCTCCTGAATAACAAAAACAATCACCTCATGAGAAAAGGTCATGTTTCCAGCTCTGACTCCCACCGTCAGCTGGCACCCACCTCTCTCGCTCTGCCTTGTTCTTGATGGACTTGTCCTGGCTGATAGCTTTACTGTTTTCCATGGATGTCTTTGCTTGGTTAGCACGCATCTCTTTGCTCTGTCTGAGTAGCAAAACAAGAAACTTTACTTCAAATCCATCTTCTGACAACAGTACCTGTTTTTTACCGTTGGAACATGAGCTCATCATCATGTGTGATCAATAATCAGCATTCATGTTGGCGTGTTTTACCTTTCATGGATGAGTTTGAGCTGTACGGTCTGCTGCTCCTGCACGGACGTTAGGAGCTTCTTGAGGTGCTCACACTGCTGGGTGACATGGCTGTCCTTCATCTCCTGCTCCTCACAGCTGTGACTACTGATCAGCTCCGACCATTCCTTAGTGTGCTGCGCCGTGATGTCCTTTATCTGCACAAACACACACTGGTTGTTTCTGCCACGTGAAACCACACCCTCCTCCACCTGCGACGTCATAGTAGGGACACTTCACTACCTTTGCTTTATGATCACCAACTAGTGTTTGGATCTTATCCTCCGTCTCCTTTTTCAGCTCTTGGCAGTTGTTCTCACTGTCAGTAAAGACAGAAGTGACACAAATGACAATAAAACACCAAACACAAACAGATTATTCAGGCCTGTTTTGGTTTGAATCTGAGTTACAGTAAACACCTATCATTTCTGTCTGACCATGTGACCAGAAAGGAAATACTGATGTGTTTTTAACACGTTATGCAATGTTTCAACATACAAAAGGCATAACATAGCAGGTCTAAMAATTAGTGAAATGAAAATCATTCTTTTTATAAACAGCGTCTTGCAGTAGGTTGATACTGCATCAACTGCAAAGCAAGTAAACATTCTGCTCTTAAAGTGTAACTAACCCAGCTGTGAAAGCATAAAGATTGAGCAGCAAACCAGTCAAACCAGTCAATCGTAAGAAAACAGGAGCACCAGTTTAGGGTCATTGATACACTAGTTACAGTATATTTTATATCGGATTTAAATAGCTTAAAAATGTCCCACTGGTTTACAGAAACAAGGAGGTTTAGGTGTTAATTTTGCCTCCAAATTCTCCAAATTTCAATCCAGTGAAGCATCTGTGGGTTATATTTTAAACACATCTAATGTTTGGAGTTTCCACCTCTAAACTTATTGGACTTAAAGGAATTGTTGCAGGYGGCTGAATCAGACCTTCAGTGGAGGTCATGCCTCAGTGGGTCAGGGATTTAAATCTGTTTTAAGTGGGAGGCAGAGAGCTGTATACATAGATTAAGATCCCAACAGACCAACACWGATCTTGCAGGAGGGCAAAGTTAAAAAAATACTAAAGGTTAACAATAAAAACAACTCTACAAGTCCTGGCGTACCTCCACTCTAAGCTAGATTAAACCTTAATGACAGAATCAACAAGTTTATGTGTTGGTCACTTACCCTCGTTTCTTAATTGCTTTCTCTACAAGTTTCTCTAAAGTCGTCTTCTCCTTTTCATGCGTTGACACCATCTTGTCCACTTGAGTGCAGTGAGACTTCTGCATTGAATTTTGATCCTGTTGAGAAGGAAAAAGAATTAAAGGAATCAAACATATTGTTTCTGCACAAACAGTTCTGTCATACAACTGAATTTGACACAAGTGCCATGAGTAACAAACTAAAGGCAATATTTCAGGTAAATTTGTTACTTTGTCACAAACACTCCTCATTGTTGAGTCAACAGATGCATCTGATATTGTTAATATTCACATGTTTTCAGTAAGGGTTAATCGTGTGATAATTAATGAGGAWCTCTGAATGAGCCAGGATCCAGCATGAGCGCTGGTCAAAGGAGAAGTTTAGCAAGTCTAATTTCTTGTGAAACGTTCAGTGTGTGTGTGTGTTTGTGTGTCYGCAATGGACTGATTGTGTTGTGTGTGCAGGGCAGGCAAATCAAATGGTGAAGCAGTGGCCAGCGGTAGATGAAAGGTTGTAACGTTCCCCTTGTTCTGTTTGTGGTCTCCTGAGCATCAGTGACCGTCAGGAAGAAACAGCAGCCTCTTTGCATTACCATCAGGCACGTGTGCTCTTAGATCACCACCCACCTTTGAGTGTTTCTTCTTTAAAGTGTTGATCTCCTTCTGCTGCTTTTTTATCAGTTTAAGGTACGTCTGCAGTGGGAGAGACAAACACCATTACTTCTGACAGTAAATTGTTGTGTTATAACTATCTTTAAAATATGAAAGCATTAACTTCGATCTTTTTAAGTGCTCTGCWATAAAACTGTTATAAACAATATCTAACCTGTTGTACATAGCTGTTTAATTAAAAAAAAAAGTCAGTGGTTTATGTCACTGGTTCCCAACCTTTTTAGACTYGTGTACCCCCTGAGCCATTTTGTCATACCACTAATACCCCTTCAGTCAAACGTAATGATGATTCTCCAAAACTATAATGTACTACAACTGATYATTAAATGAAAATTATTTATTTAACCCTTTAGAATGTTTAATTCTCATGCATTTAATTTTTTTCAACTCAAATTAAACAGAAAGATAAAAAATTTGCCTTGAAAGTGAATAAATAATTAAATAAATAAAGCGGGTAATGGAGGTGCAGGAAGCAGCTGCGTCCAAAATACATTGATTTGTCCAAAATACGTCAAACTCAGCCAAATGAGCCAATTCTGTGAGATTCCATGTTTTAAACTGGATTTCATTTTGTGTTAATTCTGTGATTCATCTGCATTTTCTGCATTGCAGAAATCATAGGGCCCTACAAATCTCAATCCTATTTTTATTTATATTTTTAACACACCTGGGAAATATTCCACGTACCCCCTGTAATATGTACGCGTACAACTGGTCGGGAATAACTGGTTTATGTGAACACTGTGTTTTTTAAACCAGTTTTATTTTACATTGTTACACAAAAAATAATTTTTGTGTGTTTTCAGTTGCTTTGATTTTTGTTGTAATTTACTTTTATTTTGAACATTTTTGGGTATAAAAAAGGGGCAAATATAAGATTTATTCTTCTGCTGCCTTTCATTTTATTTTGATTGCATGTTTTTTGTTGTGTATATAATTGTTACAAATAAAATGAATAAATTATATAGATAAAAAATAAAAATAAAATAAAATTTCTGTGGTATTTTGTAAAACTGGGGCACTTTCTGTGCAGCTTAAAGGACTTCATATTAGTTCTGCTGAGAATAACGTGTGTCAAGCAAAACTGATGGCGCTGTAACAACCTCTACAATAGTTTTGCTCAATTTGCAAGGTATCTGTTGAGATTAGAGTTAACAGCAGCAATCCACTCTAATCTTAGCTCCACTCAGACTAGCTACTAGCACATCAATCCAGTCAGAATCAACCTCAGTTTCTTTAATTAAACTCTGAGTAAAATATTGATACAAACCTTCATTTGCTTTAGGTCATCGATGCTCACATTAGGTACAAGTGCAGTATCTAAAACAGCAATAAAAAGACAATGGACCTTTAATCTTACACACTTGGTGTGAATATAATTAATATATTTGTCATCAAGTATGTTTTYACCCTTCTTAGCTTCTGTTGTGTTGTTGTTGATGGAATTGGAGGTTTGAGCTATTTCTGAGCTGGCTTGTTGCGTCACACTGACTTTCATCGTGTCTCCTTTCCCTTTTCCCTTCTTGTCGTTCTTTGAGCTTCCACTGGGAACATCTGCGATGTCATTCTACCACAGAGAGAGGAGGGTTGTTATTCAGGATGATTGTGTAAGAAGGTGGCTTGTTATTATTTGCATTGTCACGTGTACCGTGTCGATCCCCAGGGCCTTCATCTGGTCAGCTCTCTTTTCTGCTATGGTCAGAAACTTCTTTGGGTCTGATAGAGCATCCACAATAGCTGCAAAACAGCAAGTACACAGCGTTAGTAAAGTACACAGATTTGTAAAGTACACAATATAAGTAAAGTTAAAATATCTTCATTTGTTTAGCTGTAAAAGGAGCTGTCTRCAGCAGGTGTGAGATCTTCCAGAGGAAAGCTAATGTTCACAGTAATGGCTCCTYACTGCAAGCCTCCTGGCTTTATTTAATGGCAACTCAAATTGTCCAGCTCATTTGTATGCTTGTGCCTGTATTGAACTGTCTGCAGATTTACCGTCATCATCATTTGTGCCGTGCCATTACTGCAAATGTTAAAACTAAACCACCCAAGGCAGAGCATCAAGACACTGTGCTTTTTATTTCCACTCTCTCCTCCCTGCAGGCTACAGAAACCATTTTATCATCAGACATGAATAGTTTAAGAGCAGTAAAATGTATTTGTCAGCATCAGGCAACACCAGGCTTTAAATGTATATAATGGTGTGTGTGTTCCTCTCGTCTCTCACCTCCAAAGCCGTCGGGTACGTAGGTCTTGAGGATGATTTGGCAGAAGACGGTGGGCAGTGACAGGGGTTTGTTGCCTTCGTTCCTCAGGGAGATGTGGCGGTAGCCAGCCTGCAGGCCATCCAGAGGCAAGATGCGCTGCCCGATCAGTTTGTTGTTGTCGTCGTACACAGCAATGCGTAGCACTGCCAGATCTGGTAAGATCACCTACAAGGAAGGGGATGTGGGGGGAGAGAAAAATATCTGAATAATATTTAATTATTTGGCAGAAAAAAAGCTAAAATATTTCCTTTAAAGCTAAAACAATGTCAGTGTTGCAGACTATCATAGCATTCCTGTACAGTTAGTGTGCATCAGGGACTAAAGTGTGTTGCACATGTGTGTGTGTGCACCTTGTCTGTAGAAGTATGCACAGACTTTAGAAAACTCAGTAGATGTGAGTTTACCTCGTTTTGTCTGAAGAGATAACTGAACATAGAGAGGAGGGTAATTAATACAGAGAAGAGGAAGGTAAGAGATAAGGCTGAAGAATTCACGCTGGAGATGAATGGGTGGAGGCGCCGTGTGTGAGTGTGTGTGTGTGAGTGTGTGTGCACTGCTGAGGTGTATTGTTTGCTCTGACTCATCTTGACATCAGTGTGTATGCTCTGTGACTGTGCAGCAGGATTTGCAGGTGTGTGAGAGTTTTGCCAGCAGCTCTGGTTACGATGCCCTTCTTTGATAGCGCTGTGTAAGTTTATGTATCTGGATCTGTGTGTGTGTGTGTGTGTGTGTGTGCGTGTGTGTGTGAGCGAAGCAGCACTGCGGCAGGCTGTGATGGATGGTGTGTGTTAGGAAGCTGGAGTCACAGTCATGGCTGAGAGACTTCTCATTCTGCTGAGAGCAGCACTATCAGCAGCACATTCTCCCTTTATTTCTCTCCTCCACCTCTAATTATTTTTCTTCTTTCTTCGTTTTAGTGATTCTTTTTCTTCTCTTTTCTTCCCCCCTGTGCTGAAATGCAAACTACTATAGAGTACCTGTTCTGCTGCATCTTGCTCAGATTACTGCAGYGGGTTTTATTTTATTTTTCCAGATGTATGGTTGATGTATCCTCTTTTACTCATCTTTCTGCTCTGTTAATACTCCAGCCTTATATTTAGTCCTTTTCATTGAATTTTTTTTTGTAATTTCTGTTTTTCAGATATTAGGTCCTGTATTGTAATGCTTTACCTTTTTATATCTGTATTTATTTGGTACCTTTCTGAAAACAAAGGGCTCCTCGTTGTAGGCAGGGTTCAGTCCGTTGTTCATCACCATGCGTGTGCGGAACTCTTTCCTGATAGTATCAGTCGGCAGTCCGTACATGTCGACCTCAACATATGTGCCAATTTTCTTGTCGGACAGAAACTGTCCTGAGAAAACCTACAATGAGCAGAAATCCATTATTAAACCTAAACGATACAAACTAATGAGGTTTAATAAAGCCTTATTTGTAATATTCATGTACTAAAAACTGATTAACTTTCTTCTCTTCTAATAATTGTCACTCGTGTTCCTGATGTTAGATGTGTAACATGACCAAACCTGAACGCTGCAGGTTGCTGCGATGACGCCATCCACCGGCGTCTCAGAGAACGGGTCAAACGTTCTGTCGGATCGTCGCATGAAGTCTGGTTTCAGCAGGTACCTGACGCACACAACACATTAAACAGAACTGAACAGATACACAACTAATTTATTTGTGGGTAAAATTTAACTAAACAAATTAAAACTACACATATTTCTTTTATTTTAATCAAGCTGTCGTAAGATGTAGTGAAGGAAGTTACTCTGTAAAAAACGACAGATGCATATAAATGATTTGGTTTGTCCTCAAGGAAAATGATCGAGATGAGGGATGACTGAAGAGGGACGTCCATTTTCAAAGTACTTTATTGGCCCTCTGGCAGATAGTAGCTTGTAGCAGTAAGTAATGAGATGCGACAAGTTTTATTATGAGTCTCAGAGAGGGGAGGAGGAAGAGCTGCTCTCACCCGCAAGAACCATTGTACTCAAACTTTCCTTGGTTCAACTGCATGGCCAGATCTGAGACAGAAAAACATGAGAGAGAAATATTTATTAATTTTACATTTAAATCCCATCGTAGCATATATAATAATACAGTTTAATGGTAAATGTTTTGTACAGAGGCTTTTTATGTTCTCTCTGAAATCTCTTTCCTTTCAGTTTTACCCTCTAAAGCTCCGCCTCCAGCTGTACACATGACACACAGCGGGCCATATGGTCGAGCCCCCGTGCCTCAGGACACCAGCTGCTCATCAACAGGCATCACTGACACACAGGTCGACAGGAGGAAACTTTACAGGCTGTTCAGCAGACAACCTCTTAAAATCGGGTTGTTTTCTACCGTTCTACCCAAAGCAGGCAAAAAAAAAAACTTAATTTATTAAGTTAATAAAGATGTTCTGAGTCAGGTTGTGGACTGCTTGGACTCTCAGGAGTTTTTCTGCTGCTTGGGGTGAATTTTGAGTTTTAAGAGCCTCAAACATAGAAATCTGCCAGTTTGCCTTGCTCTTAATGGACAACCAGAAACCTCTTACAGTTCGTGTGTGTGTGTGGCCTTGTTTTTCCTACATCGTGGGGCCCAGTTTTAAGGAAAATGAAGCCTCGTGGGGACCGCGTGCACAACTTCAGAGGCTGATTTTGGGTGTGGGGGTTGGGTTTAGGACCAAGGTGTGAATTGAGTTTAGGTTAGCTTTAGGGTCAGGTAGTTACCTGTGAGGTTAGCCTTAGGGTTTGTGGTCAGGGTTAGGATATAAGATTACCAATAAATGAATGAAAGTCAATGGATGGGCCCCACAAGGATACAAAAACAAGTTGTTGTTTTTTTTGTGTGTGTGTGTGGTACATGTACAAAAGATGAAGAGCAGGAAATACTTAGGAGACAAAAGGGCCTGCTTTTATCACAGGGTTAAAGTCCTATATCAGGGCTATTCAACTGGTGGCCTGCGGGCCACATCCGGCCCGCAAGTGACCAAAGTTTGGCCCGCCAATTGTTTTATTCATCTCTTAAGCCCAAACCACCGGTTTTCTACTTTAATTACCCTTAAGTTCTTTTAGTTAAACATAGACATGTTTGGTATCTACAGAAACATCAGAAGCTGGTTATAAACCATTTCTATAAACACTCAAGACAGTTAAAACTACAAGCAGTTGAAGATAAAATGATGAAAGTGAAAATAAAATAGGTTAAAAAATTTGGCAAGTCAGAGATGTCAAAATATTATGTGTCTAATAATAGGAGGCATGATGTGTTGTTTTTGATAATGTTTAATTATCACTACTTTTATAGGGTTCTGTRTGTTGTATTCATGATTAAATGCAGCAAAATAAACTATTTCAAAGGTAACAGATCTTTGTAATACTTGGTTTATTTACATAATAACTTTAATTGCTGGATGTTCAGCCCCTCAGCTGTTGACCTGCAGTAACTGTGGGCCCCAGAGCAGTTTAGTTCAATAGCCCTGTCCTATATTATGAGATTCATTTCCTAAAATTGGATTWAAATTTTGAGTAAAACAAAGTTTCAGCTGGACTATCTTCTGATAACGCAAATGTACTCAAACACTAAACTTAAATTAGAAAGTTTTACAATGTGAAGTAACTTGATARGAGAAAGCGTGCTGCTGATCTGAGCAATTTCTCCACTAATTTAAAAAAAGTAATGTGGAATAAACTCTGTAAACAAACTGTTTTCTGTTCCCTGTTTTTTTTTCCTGTTTTTATTGCAGAGACAGACCTGCGACCTTATATCACTGTCTCAGGTGATGTAAGGTCAACAAGATTCCCTTCAGTGAAAACTGAATTTTACAAAATAAACTGAGTGGGAGGAAATACGTTTACTCTTCAGGATAATAAAAGGTGAAGAGGCAAATCAAGAAATGATCCCTTCACTCTCTTATTTATGTGGGGAAAAATGGGAAATCCAAATCAAGTAGTGTTTGGAGGACTGGGTCTCCTACTTTAACCACTCAGCCTGCTGAAGATAAAACCCAGTGTATGTAAAAATCTGCTGCATGTGCAGCAGTTGYATAGATGTGTGTGAGGTCAGAAGTCCCGTGTTRCATGTTGTGGTACCTGGGGTCTGGAAGTTGAGCGAGACCATCTGGCAGCCTGCGTTCCAGAAGATCTGAGGCATGTAATTACTGGAGTCCACCCTGCCTCCTTTAGGGTAGATACGGCTCATCTGACGCTTGTTGTAGCTGCACTGATGCTCAGGGAAATTTCAAAACAAGGGAGGAATACCATGTGTGTTCCTACATGTACGTGTGTGTGTGTGTGGCCTGTTGTGCCTTTTCTGAATCAATCAGAGTGTGGGTCTATTTTTAGAGAGAACAGCTTGGGTCCAGCTGTCCCAGCAGAGAGTGAGCCTTTGACCAACATGTCAACAGCACACAGAGCTGAAAAGATTAAAGCTCTCCTCTAACTGAAAAGTGCTGACAAACATCAGCAGAGAGATGATTCAGGTGTTTTAAATAAACAGATCTGTTCAGAACATTTAAGTCAAAACATTTTSACATCATCTCCCAGCAGCTCAGAGGATACTTGACAAACTCGATGGCGTTAGTCTTCAGGTAACCCAGACCAACTGACTCGTTAAACGATGACATGTTATGGTGGATATTTTTTTCTGAAAGACAGAATGAAAGGAGGAGATAAAAAGTCATTTTTAACATTTAGGTGTAAAACTAAGAAATGTAAACATTAGATGAGAAGTTCTCACCCTCTGCCACATCAAAACCCTGGAACTTGACGGGCTGTGCATAGTTGACCATGGCTGACAGATATGGGTGGATGTTGGTGGTGGCAGACTCGTACTGGTAAGAAGCTATTAGAGCCTCCTCAGAGTCTTCTGCTACGTCCCCAGCCTGCACAGAGAGGAACACACACTCAAACACACATTTTATAAAACAAGTATTTTGTATTTGGCCGTAAACTGGGAACATCGTCCGGTTCTCACCTTCTTGTTGTTGTCCTGATCCGACGCCTCGGAGATATCTGTGGCATCTGTTGCTTCAGAAATCTCTGTCATTTCATCATCAGGTACCTGGAACACATCACAAATATACTGTTGAAATAAMGAGAAGCAGATTTGGTGTTGTTTATAGTCCAGGGCATGTGAGGMTGTAGCTTCAGATGTTTCCTGTCAGACAGCTCCAGTTCAGGAGTCAGAAATACATATTTACAGAAGCTAAATGGAGACGGGGTGATTGGATTATAAACGAGAGGCATAAGAAAAAGTGAGATCAGCTCACACAAGAACAACCTAAATTCCACAGGAGACTCAGYTCCTCAGCTCACAGAAGGAAACAGAAAGTTAAGGAAGCCCACAGAGGCAGATGACTCTGTTGTCATCTTGTTTTTCACTGGTTGGTTTCCAGCTTAATGRTGCATCACCGCCACCTGTTTGTTATCCCATGCCAGAAAATCAGAACAATCCCAAAGTGTTTTCTTCATGATGCACAAGTTAAATTTAAACAYTTTCACATGGTTAGAGCTGTTCATAAAACCCTCAATTATATTATTACTATAAAATTAAAAAGGTATTCCAGTTCTTTAAAGGTTCTTGTTGTCTTTGGGATTGAGAAGTTCTCAAGGTTTTAAAGTGAACAAACAGTTTGTGGTAGGGCTGCACGATATTAGGAAAACCTGCGATGTGTGATAACGGTGCTTAATATTGTGATGATATGACTTGTGATAAATGAAAAAATACGTATGTAAATGTAGTGTTGATATCTTTCTGCTCTGGGTTCAAAGCCCAAAAAACAAAACAAAATAAAAAATAATCATTTCCATTCCAGCCTGATTTTTTTTTTAAAAAATTGACCAAAATACATGAAGGACTTTATTTGATTGGTGAAATATTTCAAGCTTCTTATCTGAATGACAAAACGCATAAAAGCAAATTTTTGAGTCAATCATTTATTGCAGTTTATGCAGTTGTTGCGATATGCATATTGCACARGCTGTTATCGCGATGACGATAAATGTTCGATATACTGTGCAGCYCTAGTTTGTGGTGTTTTGAAGCTGAGTTGATGGTGGAAATGTAAACCCACCTTCTTGATGCTGTTGCTTCGCTCCTCCTCTCTCCCTGAGCTGACGGCGTTACTCTGTGAAACACTGTTGGTCTCCTTCTCGCTGGCTGCTTCTGACAGAATGCTGGGAGCCTCTGAATTCAAATCCTTCTCTTCAGCCTCTTTCTCTCCGACACTCACTGAAACACATCCGTTTTTGAAACATTAACATCAAACAAGTCATTTCAACAGAATTTGGTAACACTTATAATGACCATACTTTTTTAGCCTTATTTAATCATAGATGGTTAGAGTATATTTGAATTGAGTAGGATTTCAGTTTGTTTTCCACAGGTGAAAAGAACATCAGGGTTTTTTCTACTTTGATAAACATGTAAGAAAGCAAAGTTCATTTTCCAAGGGTTCACAAAAAGTGATGCAAAAATGGCTTTAATTACTAATTAAAGAAGCAGATATCATGTTTGTTTTCTTCCTTTTGCAGCCTTTCATTGTATTTGTGATTTGTATTTTTTATTGTATATATAATTTATTTTTAAAGAAATTCATAAAGTTAATAAACTAAACCAGTGGTTCTTAACCTGGGTTCGATTGAACCTCAGGGGTTCGGTGGAGCCTCTGCCACGGAGGTAAAGACACACTTGTGTCTAGTTGTGATGACACGCCCCACTTGGCCATCACTTGCTGTCAGAGAGATTTCTTGGCCAATCAGTGCTGGCCACAAAAAAGTATTTTGTGGATTAAAAATGACAAAAAAAACACCAAACAAAAACAAATTAACTTTAAAATAATAAAAAAAGTTATTAAAA